GCTGCGATAATATACTCCGGAAATCATATATTCATACGACTGGGAGGACAAGTCCGGGCTTTGGTGAAGGCGTTTATATCGGGTCAGCGGTCAGTACTTGTGTTAAAAGCAATTTTTAAAATACTAAATCCCTGTCCACTGAACAGGTGGGCCACTGGGTAGACAATAAACCGGACAAAAGCGACAGAAATCAAGTGCTAGACAACAGAATCGGTCCGAATGTGACGGCCGAGAGCATCGACATCAAAGAGGGCACCTGTTGTGGTGTAATCAAGAACAATGTGTTTGACGGCACCGGTATGTCTGGCGAGAATTACGCCGATTCCTGGATCGATATGAAGGGAGAGGACTATACCGTTGAGGATAATGAGGGCAACCATTCTATACTCGACGGCATACAAGTAATACATTCATTACCCAAGTCTGCACTAAATTAGCCCTGATAACCCACTCCTAACTATTCAACAGATTCACCAACAAATTAAGGCTGGAGTATGGGGCTGTGCCAATAGGATTATTCACGATAAATGTGCTGGATTACCGTCAAAAGGAAAGTGTGTTCACGATTTGAGTAAATTATGTGCAAAACATAATATAATCGAGTAGATTAGAATTTATGATTAAATTTTAATTCAATTATTACTATTATTTCAATAAACCTCGCGATTGAAAACAATCGCAATTTGAATTAATTTTGTGATTTGCTATTTGCAAACTACAAATATAAAAGCAGTGGTTTACAAATAAACATCTATTTACCACAACTTACTAACAGAATATTCGTTAACGTATTACATAATGAATACATTGAGACGAGTGTTGAGACAGTCATTAATACTAACTTTAGAGACAATTGTCGCCAATGATGGACACAATTGGTTGAGAAGCGCTCACATGAATGGCGACAACATAACTCTAGACTCAGTCTATCGCCAATACATATTGAGTTTGGTGAGGGTGGAGGCGCCCGCTAGCGAAGCCCCTTCTCATCGCAAATTTCTTGCGACCTTTGGCTCGGGTTTTGCGGCAAAACATTCGTTATCAAAATACTCGTCATAAACTTAGTGTTTGGCACAAACTTGTGAAAGAAACCAATCTTAAGGAGTAATAGTTATTTGCTTTGCCTATCATTTGCTAAGAACTTACTAAATGTATCGTCAAATTGAATGTATTTCCCAGAAATGAGTTCAAGAGGTTTCATGTGATCACAGAAATGAACGGAATTCCTATCATTTCTGTCGATGAGTTAAGGCATGCCATTGGGTGTCGTAAAGTGGATGAAGTAATCGACTTAACAGTCATCCGATCGCTTGCTATCAATACAATACACATGATAGTCAAACCACAAGACAGTGAGTGTAATGTAGTCTAAAATTTTAAGATGTTATTGAAACACATAATTCATAAATTGTCATTGAGTGTTATTTATATTCCTTTTATTTATATTTTTTTAATAAAAAATAGACATAATATTACCAGATATTTATTAACAAATCATTCCTAAAGTTTATTAAATACCATTTAATTTTTATGTTAAATTTATTATGAATTTAATCTTAAATACAAAACCATTAGATATTATAAATAAATAGCAAATAATATGAATAATATATAAAACACAAAGATTTTGAAATAATGCATAATATTGTGAATGTGAATAATAATCAACCATTCAGTGAATGATTGCAAAGACAATCACTGATGTGATCGCATATATGATGACCGAGTGTTGACATAGATTACCGGCTCCACGGTATCCAACGGTAACATCAGGACTTCCAGAACCTTCAGAACCATCAGAGCCATCGTAATGTCTCATAAATGGTAAGCACGTACTGTCAGTAATAGTCTTCGGCTCCTCTGTGCTCTTTTGGGTACAAAACTCCTGAGCAATCGTTGGCCACAATAAAGGGGCCATATTTTGGGTACAGTTATCGAGTGTTACTTTATAACTGGTTTTGATGTCCGACACTATTTCATCGCTTGCATTGCACTCTCGACCCTAAGGTTTACGTAAAACACAAGTTATTATTAGAAATCATTTGAAAAGTTATCAAAAGTATTGATTGAAACACAAGTCTATGAAAAGGCTGTGTAAATGAGAAGTAACGCCTGTATTGGATGTTATGGTATGATTTTATAACTATTTAGTGTCAAAATTGATGTTATAATTTAAAAATTTATATAACTTATTGTAAAAGATTTTAGATTAAATATACATTTACTTTCTATCTATAAATCAAAACATATTTTTCAATCAATATTTTAGACTACTATTGAATGCAATGTAATGCCTATACATTAGAAAAAGTATTTAACGTATTCTTAAACATCAAAATACAAACTAATACTATATTTAATAAAACTAAAGGGTTTACCAGTTTAAGGAAACCAGTGTTAACTTCCAAATGCCCACAACAGTCGTACACTACAGTCTTTTTGATGGCATTCCGGGCTACCGGTGCCGTCGAGGATATATGTATCACATCCACACCCGGAATCCGTATGGTATTGAGTGACCACTTGTGTGCCACACACTTCACGAACGCTATTCCCATAGCTTTGCATTTGTCTTCACCAGAAGTGGAGCGCCGGTACCTGTGCTGACCCGTCGGTTGGTGGGTGTCATCCGCACACCCCATCCCTGCACTCAATACGAGACACACACTCACTAAACACCACTTATTAGCTGTCATTGCATTCATCGATATTCCGATCATTTCTTTTGATGTAAAATTCAACACAAGACTAACCTTTCAAACCGTTTGCCTATAAATTAATAAATTACAGGAGTATTGAATTGATTTGAAAATAAATATATCGTGAATCGCGTTATCAGACAATGACATCATTTGATAAAATTTGGTTTTTGAATTTAGTAGAGCAAGACTACAATCAAATCCAAATTATTTCATTTATTTGATACTAAATTCAGTTAACTTTGATATTCAATGTTTGAATTGCTATACTGTACTACAGTTACTGTAATCAAAAAATATAGTCACAAATTAATTGACAACTGAATCGATTAAGTCATGTATCAAATGAAGTATTTATTGACACAAAACACTACCAGACAGTCAGTGCTCGTGACCATTGGTATCATAATATCCACTTCTTATTGGCACAGAAAGCGTTTCCAACGGATCCCACAATATATGACCAAAAATAAGCTCAGCTTTAGAACCGCTGCGATGGACGGCCCCAACAAACCCGTCGACGCCATACACCTGCAGACAGCCTCGAGTTTTGTCAAAGTATACAATCTTAATACCAAAAACACTTCGTGAGTATAAGCCCAACACCGGCTCCGGGGTTATCGTCAGGGGCCCGGACTTAGTGCTCACCGCTTGTCATGTGGTGGAGGACTCTTGGGAACTACGGGTGCATCAGCTCATAAGGGATGCCGCGGGGGACATACGTACCTCTCCCGACCACTCATACATATATAAGGCATACCTCGTGTACGTCGAGCCCCAAATCGACTGCGCCCTCATCCGCATCGTCGACGGCAGCAAACTGTTGACGGCTCCCTTGAAGGCACCGGTAGTTCCCGGCGAAGAGGTGTTGGCCATCGGAGTGCCCGACGATAACGACTACTCCATCAGCGACGGTGTGCTCGGCTGCGCCCGCAGACCCATGACTGCCATTTCCGGCGAACAGAGCTTTAACGACCAGAGGGGACACTACATACAGAGCGACTGTCCCATTGGTGTCGGCTTTTCCGGCGGTCCGTTGCTTAACAGGAGGCGCGATGTGATTGGCATTAATTGGGGCGGAATTCCCTATATTCGCAATACTCTCAGTACGGGATCTGATTTGTTCAATGGTATCGCATATCATATTATCGTTGATTTTGAGTACAATTTAACACATTTTCAAATCGATTCCCAGATTTCATCGCAAGAGGTCTGCAATACGAAGAGCGAAGAGACAGAGACAGCGCTAAAAGGCATACATTTATTGGCGCCAAAAGTCTGGGAATAGCTGTCTGTCCGACAGTTTCATGACTCCTTCAAAAGGGGATGAATTCCAGCGCCAATACCCCCAGAAATCGATGCCTTGAGAGGACTCCTGATTTTCAGTAAAATCAGATCCAATTCCCCGCAACAGCTGTAATGCAATTGCTTTCATACAAACGTGTCTTAGTTTCCACGCTTTATTCATAACCTGTTCCTAATATTTTAAAAACTTTTATATTTGTCTTTAACTCTCACTTTAACTCTAATTTATTATTCAATTACTAATTGTTTCACAAAATGTATTGCATTTATAGGAATGAATTGCAATTATATGACTTAATCATAGCAGTGGACAGCCATCCGATCGCTACAGTGGCAGACCTGAGACGGGTATTGGACAGCAACACAACCAATGCAGTGATGGATATACTAGTTGTCCGGAGAATGAATGTGAATAATCCAGTTCACCTCAGGGCTAGACCTCAATTGATTTGGTGTTCACACATTTAAAAGTCATTCAAAACATGATTAAAACAAATTATTTATTATTATTTGTTTCATTTCTCATAACTTGAAAAACTAGTAAAACTTTTATTATCAATAACTGAATAGAGATTTAAACTTTTAATAAAATTGAATCAATTTTTCTATTTAAAAAATTATTGCAAATATTTAACAAACTTATTGATATGACTGAATTAATACAAATATAACAGTGATGTAATGAAAAAGTTACTATCTCATATTTCGATGGCAACACTTTTGATAACATTAAATAAAATTAACTTCATTTTGCGTTTGAGTAGAAATTCTTAGCAACATTTCAATTAACAAAGTTTACAGATTAAATATAAAATTAAATTATCAATAAATTTGTTTTAAATTAGTATAATTGCGTTAAAAATGTCTTCAATTTTGGAAAAGTTTAAAATCTGCGATAAGATTGACATAAATATTAAAACTAAAATCACAAAACTTCACGTTTTCGACGCTTTCGACAAAAACATTAAGAATGAGACAAACATATTATTTGTGACAAACAACGACACTGTCTATGGTTTGGGCTCTAATACTAATGGATGCCTGGGTTTGGGTCACGAGGATGTCGTGGAAACACCACAAATTATACCACAATTAAGTTGTCAACAAATTCAACAGTTTATCAATGGAAGTGACTTTGTGTTGGCTATCAATGACAATAACCATGTGTTCAGTTGGGGTCTCAATAATCGTGGACAGTTAGGCAGAACAGTATGGATTCAGTTATCAAAACATGCAAAACCGAAAAACATATCGTATTTAAATGGCAAGAATATCACACATATATGTTGTGGCACTCATCATAGTCTAGCCCTCACCACCGATGGACAGGTGTACGGGTGGGGCGATAATAATCGTGGACAAGTAGGTTGCGGTTACCAACAAAATCAAGCCTACGGTTACCAAAAAATTTATTCACCCATGTTATTAAAATTTGATAACCAGGGATCCGATCAAAGCAAAAATGAATCGCTATTTTCCGCCCTGATCAATTTTATTACATATAAAAACTATAAAATTAAAAGTATATTCTGTTTTAATGACACTTCGTTTGCCATAACTATCGATGATTTAGTGTTCAGTTGGGGTAGTAATGGCCGTCGAACATTGGGACATGATTATTCAGGAGTCATTTATTCACCCAGACTAATTCCACAATTAACTGATATTATATTTAAGGGTGACTATATCAAATCTATCTGTTCAACATACCTTCAAGATTATTATTTTACTTATTTCTTATCAAAAGAAAATTTAATATATTTTTGTGGCACATCTATACAAGGCTTCAGTGCCTCAAAGGGCATAAAGTACATTGCACAAACAACCCCGATACAAATATTTTTAAACATAAGTGTCAACCAATTTAGTTTATTGAAATCTTATAATAAACCATATTATAATACACCATATAATAAACCATATTATAATACAAAATTGACAATATGTATGTTAAATGATAGTATAATTTACGAAATTGTATCACCATATGTGGTGCAAAAATGTGATTATAATAATTTTATTGATTATTATGCCGATAAACACCAAATAAGTTACAATACGCTAAATATACAAGCACATGTATTTGAATCTTATGAAACAAAATCGCAAACAAATCAAGATGCAAATACTAAGACAAATGGTGATATAACTGACGGTATTGCAACAATTTATGAATTTATAATGAACTATAATAATCATTTATTTACAAATTTATATCAAAATAGATTCAACAAAAATACGACAAAATTCAACCGAAAATCATTACAAAAGTCTATTCGAGGAGTTGTTGGATAAACCCATCGGTTCGGGAGGTTTTGGGACTGTATTTAAAGTCAAACATAGAGTGGATAAACAGATATATGCCGTCAAAAGAGTTGCATTTAAGAGTAATTGTAAAATTTAAAAAATAGATAACCATTAATACTTGAAATATATTTCAGGATCTAATGATAAATACATGAATAAAATGATGACTGAAGTGCAGAATCTGCTAAAAGTTCGCTCTGAATATTGTGTTCAGTATTTCAATTCATGGACCGAAAGCAAACACTTCTACATTCAGATGGAGTTCTGTTCACAGAATTTAAGGAATATTCTTGAAATCAAACCACAAGTATTTGGCCGACAATCAGGAGAAACCATGAATTGTATCGAGTATTTCATTTCGTGTGAAATATTCCGTCAGATCTTAGAAAGTGTTGAGTATTTGCATGAATTGAATCCACAGATCATTCACTGAGACCTCAAACCCGAGAACATATTAATTACTCAAAATGTGAGGAACGGTAGATTTGTTAAGTTATGCGACTTTGGTTTGGCTGTAGTTCACGACAAATACATGAACAGTAAAACAGATGTAAAGCACACCTCACGGGTGGGAGACATGCGATATATGGCTCCAGAAGTGCTTCAGAGCACAAGATATGACCACAAATCGGATGTCTATTGTTTGGCAATCATTGGTTCAGAAGTATTGGATTTCGACTTATTTTTGATTGACTTAAATGAGTATAATTTGACACAAAATAACCTTGGTAAATTTACAAATATTCATTACTTTTACTTAATACAGTTTACAACTGTATTCACAAAGGGATGCCGTACTCAACGCACCGGTAGTTAAATTGAAGCAAATTCTGTGTTCAATGGCTTCGACCCCAGCGTTCACTCAACGGCCCGACTGTTCACAAGTACTGCGAGAATACAGCG